AACATCCCCACACCTCAGGATTTGGCTTCTCCTCAAGAAGAGCTCAGCTCCATGAACGAGACGAACCTACGGAACATCCCCACACCTCAGCGTCGGATGATAAGTGAATATGAAGCAGTTGGTTGAAGTAATCCCTGTGCTTAACTAATTACGCACTACGCCATGAAGAGGTTTGGGGGAGTGGATGTATAGATCCACGTACCCTTGACCTCGGCACTGCTTGAAGGTGTGTGGGTCGCTTCACGCCTTAGCCTCTGTATCGCCGGTATCCACTGGACAGGAGGCTGTGTGGGCCTATTGGGGACTCGAACTCCGACCCCTCGGCCGTCCAGCCCGCAGCAAGTCCCTGCTCACATGGAGCACCTGGTGGAATAAGAAATGGCAGAGGAACGCAGAGAACTCTTTGAGACAACAGCAACACAGAGATCGCAACGAGAACCGCTTTCCTCTGCATACTTGCATACTTACACTATCCCTGTAACAGGCCGTGAAGGCCCATAGGGTTGTGAGACGTTGAGGGTCCGACATTATCTAGACAACTGGCTCAAAGATGGCGGTAAGGTTGTCAGCCTTAAGCGCCGACCGCGCTTTACTCCCCAGGAAAATTATTTTATTCCCGGTACTCATTTCTGTTAGAGATGAGATCCAATAAATGTAAACTAATTAATTATAATATTAAAATAATGTTTACGGACGTCGTTTGGAACATACTCTGCTCCGTGAGTAAGTAATTCTGAACTCTTATCACGCGTCATTAATTTCCTTCATGTACAAATTGGTCAAATGAATTAAACATTAAATGTCATGCCAACGAAGACGTGTTGTTGCCCGTAGAGCTGGCAAATAACTGCCCAGCCCTATTTGTACACCCTTAATAGTTCCCACACCAAAAACAAATCTCACTCTGGAACACTGCCACTTACACTCTGAATAACTTTCGCGTTTAAGAGAAAAATACCTGCGCTTGAATCTTGTTCCTTCATTTAAACTATTCCATCAACGGAAGTTACACCCAAGTTACCATATATAAACAAAACCAGAGAGCGGATAGACTAACAGTGACAGTTTATTACTATTTAACAATGAATGTAGGTATGATGACCACTGACGCTGTATACGTTAGAATCGGCAATTATTATGGCTCTACAGCCCTTTGATGGGCCTTGGCCATTCTTTTTTTCAATTTCTTGATGATATACAGTCGGTAGGGCTCCTTGGACGCGTTACCAGCCCGTCGCAAGGCCGCTACCTAGACACAGAATAAACGCACACAGAACAGACATCCATGCCTTAGGCAGGGCGGCCACTGTGATCGGCGCGAATCAGTAAACTGGTCGAGCATTGAAACAAAACAGAGAGGGCATGACGATCTCATAGTGCATTACGGCTTTCTTTCCTTAAAAAGTCAACTAGTGGGGGGAGGGAAATCGTTCTCATCTCCCATGAACCACTGCATTTCAGTTACAAAGATCAGTCCGTAAATGTTCAGGAAAACAATCGCTGTACGGGACTGAAAGTTAGGCAGATGCCTTTAACCCACATATTATAGGGGTCATGATATTACCACTTAAGGTACTTGAGTGACCGTCGGTGACGTAACTTTCGCATCAAGTTTCACTGGCCAGGTGTAACGTTAGCCTGCATGACGGCCTTCTGCACAAATGCTACACAAATCTGTTTCCGTAAGAGCTCTCTCAAAGGTTTCCATGGTGACGCTCCCGTAGCGGTTCAGAAATAGAAGCAGTTCAGAGTATAAACAGCCTCCAGCAACACGGGCTAGAGGCGGTGACGGACGCCAGGCGATATTAGTGACGCTCCAATGGCTCAAGCTTCGTGTATGGGTGTAAAACTTGGTTATCTCTCAAGATAGGAAGAACGCACATTAACGGCGTGTGGGAAGAGCGTGCCAGGCAGAATATCTGGACTTATGAGAGAGGAAATAAGCGGGGCCGAAGGGAAGTTCATGTGGAATTTCATATCCGCTCTTTCACATTAACGAACATAACCATAAATTTTCGCGCCGAATGTTTTATAACCCTTACGTCGCTACGAACGAGATACACAACAGTGTGGTCACAGTTTACCCGCCTGTGGTCTAGTGGCCAGAGTTCCTGGCTACAGGTCCAGAGGTCCCGGGTTCGATTCCCGGCGCTACCAGTTTTTCTGAGAAGTAGTGGGTCTGGAACGGGGTCCACTCAGCCTTGTGAGGATAACTGAGGGGCTACGTGAGTGGAAAAGTAGCGGCTCCGGTGTTGAAAACCGAGATTAACAGCCGTGGGAATCCGTTGCGCTGACCACATGACAAAGTGAAGTCTCACTTCTGCGCTAAGTTTGAAATAACGCGAATCCTAAAAGAATGGCGTGTATTTTTCAAAACTCGTCTTGAATTATGCGAGTTACGCGACCGCAATGTACATTTCGCTGAACGATTCGTCTTGGTCTGATTTGAATGGTATTCAGCTCCTAATTAGCAAGATACAATGCACTCTACCGTGAGAATGTGACAAGACAAACTTCGCCGACAAAGCGATGCATTATTCCGCGACGTCCTTGCGTTGTCTCAAATTGAAGAGACTCAGCAGCTGAGTAATCAAACGACACAACACATAGCCACCTCAATCCAGTCATGGGGAATGGTGCATATATTAAAACATGGGGGGGGGGGCTGTTTATTATTTTCTGTAGACGAGGTTTGTTATGGACTCCGCACCGGCGCATCACACGTCACAGGGTTGAGTCGGACGTATTTAAATGTTGTGATAAATTCTTATTCAAAATGGGCAACTTCTTTAGAACTTGGCAGACGGTCTCAGGTCCTGTGTAACATCTCCTAACACGGTGGTTTTCTACGTTCGAGAGTTGTGCCCCCACCCAACCCTTAAGCTATATGCATATTATTTATTTACTAATTTAAGGTTCACCCAACGACGCAGTCTGTAATTAAAGCGCCGAATGATAAGACGACAAAGGTGGCTATGGTGGCGGCCTTACTTGAGGTAAACTCTGGCATTTGCCTGGAGGGACGAGAAAACTCATGAAAAGTCTTACGACGGCCGCACATCAACTGCGTCAGGACAAGCACCATGACATGAGACAAAAGACGCAGTCTTGCTTCATTCGTGATTCAGACTCGAGTCCGTACACCGAGGTAGAAGGTGTCTGCGTCTTATCACGTCTTCTCTAGTTGATGACTAGGGACCGGATTTTAATGCAAATGCATATTTCTTTCTTGCAACCATAAAGTATGCTCGTTTGGATATATGTACGAATTACTTCATTTCTTAAATTTTGGACATTATTTGATGGTGCATATAAATGCATATTTTGCCCGTTTTATGAATAAGCATCATATTTTCGAAGATCTCTCTTTATACTGCATATTTCCCTTTTAAAATGTTTATCATATTGTGACATGCTGAGCTATGGATGACGACCCTCCCCCACCCCCCGCCAGCCGTGATGCGCCGAGCGAGCCGATGTTAGCCGAGTCCTAGCATCCTGGTCTCTAGGCAACGCGAGTCAACAGCGGTGACGTCACCAAGTAGTAACAGCGGTTACTTCCGGACAGCGTGGCTAGCAACAAGGCACCAGACGACAATTGTCCGATCGAGGCTACATAAGGAGCAGCGAAGGCTATTCACGGTCAGTTGTACTGTGACAGTCAGCGAGTCCTGGAGCTACCTACGAGTCAGCCCTCGAGCTACCTTAGTTCCGAGTTAGCCAGCAACTAGTCAGTTGTATTCTGGCATTTGGAGTGTACTATTTGTGACACTGCAGATAGCAGTAATCGTAAATCTGTAATTTGGGTGATTGTGAGAGCGGATGTGAAATAAAATTCGCTCTATCAAATACGGCGTGAAGTTATTTGTCGCGATATACGCCCGACACGCGACAATATATATTGTAACGTGTCTGGAATCCAGAAGAGACTTCTATGGAAAAGCTAGAACAGACCGTTGCATAAGAAGTAACAATAGCGATACTGTAATTCCAACAGTGAGCCGTTGTATCGAGAATATCGAATCTCCACGGTTACGACAAACACGCGTAGCGTCCCAACAGAGACAACGCAATAACAATGGGTTATTGCGTAGGAAACGCGGAGCCAACAAAGCGACGTTTCCACTGTTATAACAAAGGGTTCGTTGCCTAACAGCGGGCAAGGTTATAAATAGCCCAGCTTCGACACGAAGCCTTCAGTCTAGGAACATCCGTCGCAGAAGACAGTTGAGGTGCCACAGTGAATAGTAGTTGTACTCGTGATTGTGTAAGCGGACGAACAATAAACGTTCTACTTAATTTGAGGCCTACGTGAATCTATTTGTCGCGTTATACACCCAATACGTTACATTGGTGTCAGAAGTGGGATCGAACTTTTAACACGCGCCCTACTGCTACAACATGGACATGGAAAAGATGATGGAAATGTTGGCAAGAATTGACGCCAACGTGAAATCTAACCAAGTAAAAGCAGAAGCCGACCAAGAAAAGGCGAAGAACGAATTGCTGGCCTTAATGGAGGCAAACCAGGCCAAGGCGGAAGCCAGACACGAAGAAATATTGGGCACAAGAGAAGAGATTAGAACCAACAAGGTCATAACAGATACAAACCTGGAAGAACTTGCGGAGAGAATAGAAAAGACACAATTCGTGCTATCTAAGTGAACTGGTTTTATAAAAAAAAAAAAAAAAACTGCACCATCATATTCCTGCAACGTATTTTTGTTCAAATTCCTGAGCAGAAACTTCAATATCTTGTTGAGCTTAGAGAAATCAGTGACAGATTCAAAAAAGTTGAATCACATGAGGAACAGTTTCCTGTCATGCTGAGTAAATGTTATGTGGTAAAAAGAAAATATTTAAAAAAAATCATTGATGCAAAATATGTTGTAAGTACCGGGTTGCTTCATCTTGCTTCGCAATCATGTTCGACATTTCAAATTTGCCTGTCAGTTAGAAATATGGCAAGCAAAGATGATAATTCACTTGAGAATGAAACATCAACTGGATCCAAACTCAAGCATCCACTCCTCATATTTTTTGATGTCTTCTTTTGATACGCTCTTCTTGCACTTCGCAAGAACTTCTTTAAAGTCTTGCGCCGTTATGGGGAGATCCAGTGCCTCCTTCGGCAACTGTCTGATCTCGTCAGAACGAAGACCGGCAATCTTATGTCTCATTGACATCAGTGCTGCATCCCTGCAACAAGATTACATAGTCACACATCCTGAGAACAGTGATGTGAAATCTTCTGCTGACAATTAAATAAATTCATACAAAACAAACATTTCCGAGAGACATGTGGAAATGGAAAGATTATGTTTTATAACAATAAAATTCCACAATTAATGTTCTCCTTAAATTTGTGTTAAGTCTCAGTCTTTCCTCAAAAGTTAAGAGTAGTGAACGTGATGTCTCGAACCCACAATAACAATACCACACCCAGGTCTAATTCACGTTTACTCTTCTGTCTACCTCCTACATCATACCCAGGTCAAGGAAAGAATGCACACAGATTCTTTCCCTCCATGTTCCTTCCTCAACACTATTATTTACCACATGTATTTTGGCTTTTGTTCCATTGCAGACCATCCCTTCTTGCAGTCTTGGAGGGGAGTGTGCAATGCAAGTAAGGTGCAAAAACATTCAGCCAGTTTTCATTCCCACCACCCATGTTCATTCTTTCTCTGACCTGAGTTTAGCAACTGACCTGCAGATATTGGTGATGTCACACCCAGAGTAGCCCTCTAAGTTCTTTGCAATATCCTTTAGATCTACATCTGAATCCAGTTTTATTTCTCGGAGATTAATTCTTAATAGTGCCTCACGTCCATCACCTACAAATAGAGTTGTATGTAAAGCTGGCAGTACTGTAAAACTCTACTAGCTGTACAACAAATATCTCATTGTACTCACTATTTGGAAGAGGAATATATATCCGTTTCTCCAGTCTTCTCCGTAATGCATTATCAATGTCCCAGGGAAAATTCATTGCTGCTAAAACCATAACTAGCTTACTAGGATCTTCACTGAAATTTGAACACCAAATTCCAATTTTAGTGCATTCATAGAATCCGAAAGCAAGACCAGATCATGTAGAGAAGGTACAGTAATCATATATTCTCAGTATATGAACAACAAAGTCAGTTTCCCAATTATATACTGTTGTATAGTAGTAAAAAGGTAAGGTAAAGTTGTACCTGTGCTTAATTAATTGGCACCACACCATGAAGGTGTATGGGGGAGTGGATGTATAGATCCAGTTTCTTGACCTTTGCACTAGCTGGAAGTGAGTGGTTAGTTTCACGCTCCTGCCACTTTAACCCCGGGAAAAGAGCCCCTGGTACCCAATGGACAGGAGGCTGGGTGGGCCCCACAGCCGGTCTGGATGATATGTAGAAGAGAAAATTCTGATCCTACCGGGACTCGAACTCTGACCCCTTGGTTGTCCAGCCCATAGGCAGTCACTATACTGAATGCGCTACCCGGGCTCACGTTGTATAGTAGTGTGACTGGCAAATAATGAGTTGGAGAGGATGCAGACAGAAACGAAAAGAACACATAAGTAGTCAGACTGACTAATTTGGTAGGCACCCAGTAATAATATTAAAGAGGAAGGCTGAAAGCCCAGCCAGTAATTTAAACAACAATGGAGGAAGGAATGTAAAGAAAGAAAACAGAATTAAATCGACAGAGATGAGTGTAGGTAAAGCTGTCTCTGGGCTTAATAAAGCAATATGCCATGAAGGCATAGGATGGAATGGAGATATAGCTGCACACACTCTTAACCTTGCCACTACATGGAGGCGAGCAATTAGCTCATGCCTTGGTCTGATTCCTAAGAAAAGAGCCCCCTGTATCCCCTGGACAGATCCCCACAGCTAATCCTGATATCATGGAGAACAGACAAATCTCTTGCCTCTGACAGAAATCAAAACCAAACTTCTCAGTCATCCAAATCACAGACAAACTGCTTTACTGATGATGGATATCTCAACGAAGCTGAAGAAGAGAACTAGCAAGAAGAGGAGGAAGTAACACTACGCCATGGGTACGTATCTTCATCAGAAGTTCACACAAAATAAATCACATAAATCATTTAAGTACTAACCTTCACTGTCCAGAACACAAAATTTGTAATCCCTTCCTTCTACTGTGCTGGCCACCATATTTTAATTAGCGGATAATGGTATAATCAGATTACAATTATCGCTGTACTTCATTAATTAAGCACCATGCCATGAAGATGTATGTGGGAGTGGAGGTATAGGTCCACTATCCTTGACCTTGACACTAGTGTTCAGTTTCACCCCTGGGGGAATAGCCTCAGTACCCACTGGGCAGGAAGCTGGGTGGGTCCCAGGGACAGTCTAGATGCTGAAGAACAAAGGAAAATTGGTTGCCTCTGCCAGGGATCGGACTAGCACTGCAAAAATGTTAACTCTTGGAAAGAAGAATCTGACATGTGCAGTTACAATAATGCAATGCACAGCCAGTGAAGGCCTAACAGATTCCTGAAAACTGGTCAGCAGCCCAGGCAGAAGAGGCATATGCACATGGCTCAGTGACATGCAGGAATCTCATGATAACTAACTAATTGCAGATAACTAATAACACACCAGATGGATCCTGACATTACCATGCCATTCTGAATCTCTAACCTGTGAAAATTAACTTACCTGCTAGAACTAACTCCATCCATCTGAACTAGAAGCTCTGACTTCACTCTTCTTGTTGCTTCATGTTCTGAATGTGACCCCCTTCTGCAGTACAGAGAGTCAATCTCGTCTATAAATATTGTGCTGGGGGCATAGAAACGGGCCTGAAAATGACAAGAACACAGTGAAATTCATAACATTCATTCAGAGAAGCAATGGCTAAAGAGACAAGTTGATATTCACTTAGGGGATGACATTAGAATCATTGATAAGGAGTAATGTCTTCACTGTACAGTTTGGTAGAAATGTACCAACATTTCAGAGGAATATGCTGTTTGCACCAACAGTAGAGAAAATGGATGTGTGAGATTCCT